GATTTTGAATAAATGCAAATATCGCTTTTTTTGGGGGGGGGGGTGACAAATGGCAACAACATACTAACCGTTCTCTCTTAATGGTCTTCTTCCAGCCTGGTTTGGGGCCCGGCTTCTTCCTTTCTCTGGGCTCTCGCGTCTTTCTAGCCTCCCTGTGTCTGCTCTTCCTTGGAGCAATCCTGATTTCCCAAACAGAAGCATGTCAGGTCTCTAATACAAGTATGGAGTCCAATACAATAGGCTCAGCCTCTTATAATGTTGCAGAAAATCTCAATGAATCCCTAACACTTAACTAACTCCCCATTCTCTGCCTCACCTTATCCCATGGCGCGATCCTCTAAGCTGAATCCTTTCACTTGTGCTGTCCAGCCTGTATAATGTATGCCGGCAGTGAAATGACAGTGACCAAAGCTTGTGATGCTTTAAGATTCGGTGACCCTGTACAATGTATTCTGTCAGGCTTGTATTTAAAGTAAACCTTCCGGGGTGTTGGAGGTGCAGTCCAGCCTGGAATACAGGGGCTGCAAAGGGGCACATTGATTTGTAAACTAACACAGGTACTTATAGGAAATACAAGGAGGGGAATTTATCAAAACTGGAGCAGATTTGCACTGCAACGAATCAGCTTCTCTGTCTCATTTTCAAATCTTACCTGAGCAAACTGAAGAGAGGTGCTGATTGGTTGGCATGCACAACTTCTCCAGATTTTGATCAATTCCCCCTAAGGTGTCTATACTCCACTAGTATTGTTACCACTTTTTGGTCCCTGGTAGGTTCACATTGTTGTTGTTTTTTTACATCATCAGCCTTTCCTTTGTGTTCAGAATAAAAAAAATAATAATTATACATATCCGTCCTTTGCTTCCCCACTGCTCTACTCAGCTGCCATGAGGAGAAAAAAAAAAGCACATTACTTGTCATGTCAGTAGACATGAGGCTGGGCATGACCTAGATGCAAACTCAGTTTGCCCAAGCCTGCTCGAAACTGTGACTGCCACCCCCTCGTCCCGACCCAATCTGTGTTGACATTGGCAGCAGGGGCATTCCCCATCCTTTTGTGACATATAGCTGTGGGGTGCCTCCCCACAATTGACTGGGTCAGGAGGGGGGGGGGGGGGTTGCAGGTTTGGGGCAAACTCGCACCAAGCTTAGCCTCATCACTTCTTGTTACCCTCCCCTGCTATGTGACAGAACGGGTTCTTGGCAATTGCCACCCTGGCACTCAGCACTGTCACACGTGGGTGGTAAAAAAAGTTCTTAGAACATATAAGTGATATGGAGTAACACACTTCTGAATGAAGCTGGCCATAAAGTGAACTTCCTGCTTCTCCCTGCATGAGCAAAGCACGAGTTCACTATCCTCCGGATCCTTGCATCGCTGGGCTGAGACAAGCATGCAGCTGATGAAGACAGAATTTCTGTTCTGCAGGCTTGTTCCAAGTCAGTGACTCACCAGGTTACAAAGCAAGGATCAGTCAGACAGCCCCCGAGCCTCTTACAGCAAGTCAGCAGTGGCGGCTCCTATATCTTTATTCTCACAGGGTTACATCATAGAATGTCTGTGGTTTAGGATCATCCATTCTTTGGCAGCTGTAGATATATTACCTCTTCTCTGGGTATGGTTCAAAGGAGTCATCTGAAGACAGGAGGTCCCCCCTCTCCTCTCCATCTTCCTTACTCCGGGACTCTCTGTAGAGAGATACAATTATCAGTTTCTGACTTTTAGCAGCATTTACCTTAAGACTGTCATCACCCGTACACATACAGGATCCTCACCCGTCGGACAGCTCACTGCCCTCCTTTGCCAGCTCATTCGAGGTCTGAGGGGAAGCTCCTCCATCTAGTGCTTCTGCAAGAAATATAGAAGATTCAGAACTTCTGATCTTTCATCCTATGGAAGTAATAACCACCTGCCACTATCACATATCAGACCTAAAGCAGAACTCCAGCGTAATTGTATTTCCTCTATGGATCCTTTCCCCTCCCCCTTCCTTATAACACTGTCGGGGACACTACAAGCACCCGCTGACAACTGGACTGTAAGGAGTGCAGTGCTCACTACGGATGTTTTCCAGTCTCAACCACGCCTGTAGCATGTCCACAGACTCTGATCATTTCTTGTAGTACAGAGGTGGACAACCTTGGCACTAGGGATACAACAATACCCTTTTTTTGGTATTGAGTACAAGTACCAATATTTCTTTCCCCCAGTACTTGCTGATACTGAATATCAATACCGGAAGTCCCATTAAGGAAGCCAGGCGGCGTGTATTGACTTGCTGCCCGGCTTCCCGATTAGCCGGGAAACCGTCTCCATGCTCCCTCATCACCAGGTGACGGAGAAACATGGAGCCGGCTTTCTGGGCAATGCATTGCTGCCCAGCTTCCGGATTGGCTGGGAAGCTGGCTCCATGCTCCCTCGTCACCAAGTGGGAGGGAGCATGGAGCCGTCTTCCCAGCCAATCAGAAAGCCGGGAGGCATGTAAACACTCGCCGTCCGGCTTTCTGATACCGGATGTTCCGGTGTCTGGATAAGTATCGGGAGCATTTGGGCGAGGACTCGGCCCTGCAGCTGTTGTGCAACTACAAGTCCCATGAGGCATTGTAAGACTGACAGCCACAGGCATGATTCCCTTAGCCAGAGAAATGATGGGATTTGTAGCTTCATCACAGCTGGACTGTCAAGGTTGCCTGGTGTCGCAGGTCTGCAGTTGACATACTGAATATTATATGGGCCGGAGTTAAGGCCCCCTAAACCCCCCTTACTTCACATGTCACAGATCAAAGACAAGTATGTGCATATCAGGGGCTGGGACACTTACTACTAAGTACTAAGTATATATTTGTGTGAACAGGGAGGAGCGAGCAGCCAAATCACGGCATTCGCTTATATTGGAGCAAATTACAGCGATATTACTAAGATCTCCAGCCTGTACAATCAACCTTTTCCCTGGAATTTATCATGCGGTGGGGGTGGCTGCTTCTGCCAGGGAAATGGCTGTCATCGGATGCAGCAGAAAATAGCCGGTTGGACACAGGACAAGGACAAGGCAAATACCAAAGTGACACACCATATGAAAAACATTATGCAGGCTTTTGCTAGTGACCAGAAGGATACTGAACATTTATGACAGTGGAAACATATGACATTTATACGTTTCACAATGCTGCTATTCGATCCCGAGGAGATTGCTCACTTTGATTTCCTGTTAACCTCCACCGCCCACATTGCTTCTCTTCTACTAATAACCTTCTATGTCTGGTTGGCTGACTCTGACCATTTCTGCATCTGTAGGGTTCATTGCTCAATGGACCGTATTGTCTGAAAATACTCGCTGCCTGGGTGTTACATTGATCCAGATTTACTTACTAAGTCTCTGACCCAGAACAAGCATGCAGCTAGGAAAAGTAGAAGCCCTGAGCAGAACTCAGAACCCACTTTCGGATTTCAGGAAACCGGTGCTGGGAAAAAAAGATAGACTGCCATTGCCGAGCTCTCCTTTAATATATGTGTTGTCTGGACTCAGAAAGTGAAGAGCTGCTGTCATGCGGAGTCTCTCTGGCTTCAATACTTTGCATCACTTAGATGGAAGAATGCAGATAAATACTTTGGACTTGTCACTGACTTTGAGTCAGAAAGTAGAGCCCATCACCAATTTAAAATAAATGCAGGTAACAAGCAGAGAAATCACATCATTTAAATGCTTACTTGCAGTGTTTTCCCATAAAGTATTTTGTATTCACTTGCAAGGTCCATATGAACTTGGTAGTGACTTTGACTTCTCCAGGAAGAGTCAATTCCTTAGCACAGCCCCCTCCGTCCTTGTAAATCATAGTCCTCTGCCCTGCAAGTGTTTAATTATTGTCTGTGTTGGTCCAGCTCCTCTACCCTTCCCCTCACAATGTACAGGTGAAACTCGAATAATTAGAATATCGTGCAAAAGTAATTGCAGTAAGTTCTGCAAAAGGGGCCCAAACCAAGTACTGAGTACATATGCATGCTTGTACTTTTCAGAGGTCCGATATTGTTCTATGTACAATCCTTGTTTTATTGATTGCATGTAATAATCTACTTTTTTGATATTGTGGATTTGGGGTTCTTGGGGTTTTCATGAGCTGTGAGCCATAATCATCACAATTATGACAAATCACGGCTTGAATTATCTTGCTTTGCATGTAATGAGTCATTTCTCATATATTAGTTTCACCTTTTAAGTTGCATTAGTGAAATAAATGAACTTTGCACGATATTCTAATTATTCAAGTTTCACCTGTAGATATCAGGGAAGGAGCCTCTGTCAACCTTTATACCCCACAAAACCTTAAAATAGATTTTAGGTGTCGGGGAACCCCTGCTAAAATTGTGAGTCAGTAATAAACATGCTCCTTACTTTGGTGGCGAGAGCCCTTAGTGACAAATAAAAAGTTCATTGGTGTCATGTGGCTGGCTTTGCCATGTGGTGTTGGCCCTGGAACTTTGCAGGTACTATCAGATGTACGGTCAATCAGTCTCAGCTCAAGGAACCCCTAACAACCTCTGAAGGAACCCTGGGTTAGAATGGCTGCTATAGGCTGTCGCTTGAGCTCTGAATCTGCAGGGCTACGGAGGAGAAAGAGATTAAGGACTCTGCGTCCTCAATCTCTTTTTCGGTTTAGATCCCTGACATTTCCCCAAACCCACTGCCATGAATTACATACACATACTGTGGATATGAGCGGTACATGTTTTGGTAAACTACAGTGTAATAACACACCAGCGAGCGCACATTATGGGCACACACAATACACGTGTGCCGGTATGATTGGTTTTTCTTTTGTTAAACTTTTTTCAATCACATTCATTCACCTCTATGCATTGATGTGCCTCGGGGGGCTTGGATTAAAGTCAGCATTTTTTTCCCCCACTGTAATTATGCAGTAAGGACTTACCATAAGTGAGGCCTCTTGATCCAATCTTCTTCCTTCCACTTGTTTCCAGCAGTCCCTCCAGCGCTGGTACCGTTCGTCCAGCACTGACTGCTGTGTCTTCTGTGTCCCATGGTGTCTATCTGATGTGCACGGTCCCGGTTGTGTGCATTGACTTACACTGTGTTTCTCCTCTTCTCCCCGTCAAAGATCTCTACTGCGCATGCAGCCGCCCCATCATCCTGCTCGGTTACTCAAGAAGCTCCAGATCTTCAGGCGGGAGCGAGCGGCGTAGACACAGGTAACCTTTTTGGTAACTTTATTTTTTTTATGTTTTTGCATATATCTACTGCTTTTGTTTGTAGTAGATATGTGCAAAAAAAATGAGAGTTTAATTCCACTTTAAGCCTCTACTTCTGACCACTCCACTAGTGTCTGCTTTTACTAATATTTACATAGACTTACCTTGCATGGAGTCCGGCTCAGGACATGGGGGTGCGGGAATCTCCAGGGGCAGAGCTGGCGATCTATTCTGTGATGGAAGATTATCAGCCCTGGCAGCCTCAGGAAGAGGCACAGCGATCTCCATCATATCTGATGGGCTGTATCCTGTGTGCACAGAGCCCGCGCCTGTACCGACTGTATGCATTCCATTACCGCTCGGCATCTTCGGCACTTGCTCGTCGTGAGAGTCTGAAGTGATAGAGTCAGAGTCTGCTTCCATGATGTAGTCGTGTCCCTCTTCACATCCCCACACGGCCCGTATGATGCCGCAGTACTGGGCGGAGAATACCTGCTGCAAGCTGGGCACAGAGGAGCAGCCTCCTGCATGGCTATGGGTCCAGTTCACCAGGCTGTGCAAACATTCTGGGCTGGAGGTGATGAGATCTGAAAAGCACAAACAGGCAATGAGGAAAGTTTCACATTAGTTAAAACAATTAGACTTATGAAAAAAAACCTACTTGTTGCACATATAAGACATGTTGTTAAAGGTTTACAACCAATATTTGTTCCTGATAGAGGCTGAAGAGTAAACCACCCAACTGCTTCTTCTATCTCTCAGGGACTCTGTTGGTGAGATCTCTGGGCTGTGATCCCAGGTCTCCACACTTGCTGTGGTTCTTAGGAGGCAATCACCCTCCCTACTGAATTTTACATTTATATCATGTAAAACATAACAGGTCATACCGTCCACTACCCTCCTGCTATGCAAGTACGCGACTGATCCAACCAACACTCTGCAGCCAGAATGCAGTTAGCTCCTCACATGTGTGCTGGGTGGGTCTATTGCCTGACACCTGTGCTGTATAGCTTACTCACTATCTCATTGCTGTATCACCAATCAGATTCACACTTCTAAGGAAGGTCTGAATCAGATTGGTGGCTTTCTATGTGCCAGAGGTTGCAAGGAGCCTATAGCCTGGGGATCTCTCTCCAGTATGTAAGAAAAAGGGGTTCTCAGATTACCTACAAAAGGTAGTGGGGTGGACTTGGGAACTGCGGCCATGTCTGGATGAAGAACTGCAGGCTTAAGCAGGTGGGCTATACCAGGGGCAACCCTAAACATCTCACCGCTTGGGGGGGGGGTGTTGGTGATCATTATGCAAATTCGGGGAGGAGGGGTGATTAGTTACTCTTGGTGCACATTTCGTGGTGGTAGGGGGGATAGCATGGTGCACGGCGTCCCACCCAGCTCACTGGTCACCTGAGAGCATTTAGCAACCTGGGGCACTCTGGCCGCAAAGGGGGTGGCGGGAACACGTGTCGCCCTCCTACGTAACCCAATGAGATGCCGCCTGAGGCAACCGTCTCAAGCTGCTTCATTATAGGGACAGCCCTGGGCTGTACTCTCTATTATAAAACAAATAGCAATCTGCATAGTGTGGGAACACAAAAAACATTTAAATCTACCTTACCCCAACCAAAAATCAAATGGACGTATCTGGCCCTACTAAAAGCGATTCCCTTACCTGCACAGGGGCCCGTGGTAACAGCATTAGGATTTTGAGGTTTGCTGTGAACATAAAACAAATATGATAAAATCAGACATGTGTTCCCTCATTTGGGCTCATGCTACTTCTCCTCTGTAATTTGGAACAGTCATGTTCAGCCTTCACATACACAAACCACCCACCATTGTTACACTGCAATTGTCAGGCAATTATGACATATACGCACGTAGATATAAAATCCGGAGTGGAGGTGAATGATGACACAAGGGGGGGTCATAATGGGGGTGACTCAGGCATTGTAGAGAATGTATACAGGCAGCTGTGAGAGTGGAGATCAAAGAAAAAGGAGTCAATTTTAAAGGGACATTAAACAAGTTCACCTTTAACTACTAGCCCCCCC